GGAATGTCAAAAGTTCCTCAGCTTCTCGAAAAACGAGTATATTGTCTGCTTGAAATGCCATATTTAAAGCTTCTAAAGCCACATACGGGCCAGAAGAGACATCCTGGGAGGGAATGCGCACTTGAAAGGTTGCACAGTGTTGATTGAAAGTTCAAAGCATTATTCTTCATTGCTTTAGGTAGCCACTCCGCAAGTTGTCGCTAAAATCGAACAATACAAACGCGACAATCCGACGATATTCGCCTGGGAGATCCGCGAGCGCCTCATCAATGAGGGTACGGTACTTCTGTTCTATTATTATGTTCCAGAGTGGCTGAAGACGGCTGCTCGCCTGTCTGCTGCTGCTGGCGATGGCTCGACTGCGATCAGCTCAAATAGCTGTCGACAGCTTTACATTGTTTCAATTGTTCGCTTTGTCTTTACTTCTCACAGCAGGGGTTACGGTAGTGTTTGTGCATTAGTGAGAGGGCGCTCGGGTGTGACTCGCACACTTGACTCGTCGTCGCAGACTCGCTCGAGTACCGTATCCATTTCCACTTTGAATTGCCGCACACCTTGTCGAAGGTACATGTGTTTGAGAGCGACCGATGCTCGTCATGTTTGCCCACACGACACTCATATAGCACCAGAAGTATCGGATAGGTGAGACTGAAGCGTCGGCGGCGGCGCTTTTGACCGCGGATCCTCGGGTGCAAGCAAAAGAGAAGAAGCTGTAGAGTCACGGAAAGGGGAGCAACAGCTGCTGCTATAAAATTGCTGAGATCCCCAACCAAGGATTTTGAGGCTCTCATCGATGGATGCCTAATCCCCCTACTTCCTTTCCTCCTCTCCATAGAAGGTATTCTCAGAGGGTCATACGCCGGCACGATCAGAAAGAGCGACACTCTATAATAACGTCAGAACTCCCTGAAGCAAGTGTTTTGGTACTGTAATACTTTCGAGACAATCATCAAAAAATAAAACCCTGCTAAGCTCTTATTTTTGATGATTGTGGCAATAGTTATGCAGCAGCAAGTTTCGCTGTATATCGCGCGCATGGTGCGGGGTTCAGGCGCGGTTCAAGCGCGATATGCCCTCCGATCCAGATTTCTTTCCATCATCTTTCCTG